CACTCAGTTCCTAAGTCTTGTTGTGGACTGACAACACACAGGATGTTTGTGGACTCAGTGGTGTCAGCCCTGCCCAGTTGTCTTTAGCTAAACTACCCAACCATTTCTACTCTCTACAACATAAAGGCTAATCATTCTGTAGTCCAAAAAAGCGGTGGGGGTGGGGGTATTTGAGATAACACAAGAAGTGTGCAGGGGACGCAGGACAGTTCTAAATTTCTGACAAGATTGACAGGTCTTTTTTAACTTATCAAGCAGATGTAACAAAATGCTTCCAATAGCATATTTAACAGACCAAAAGGGAGCAAATAATGGAAGTTTATCATTAGGGTTTACATACACTTTAATAATATATTAGTGAATACAGAGCTGTATTGATTTGTGTTGTTTATAGCTGTCTAGAGTAAATTAATTAAACATATTTAACACAGATATAAACTTGTGTGCCCTGTAAAAAGTGTTTTAAACAGGAACTCCAGGAATGTAACCCCTCCTCACCCCCCCCCACACACACACACACACACACACTGCAAGGGTTAACTGCTGGTTTTTCTCTAGGGGCTGAAATAAAAGAAATATACATACCAGATACTCAATCCCATCTGGCTGCTAGACCGATCCCTGCAGCCTTTTCTCCCTCAGGCTGAAGTGGTCTAAGCCACGCTGACATCATCACGTTTAATACATTCCATTCTCTTGTATTAGACATGAGGATGCCGAGGAAATGCAGCCAGAGCGGAAGGGGAGAGAGGTGAGCACTCACTGGCCGCAGGATCGGGGGTCAGGTGAGCAAATCATATATTCCGGCCCCTAGAGAAAAAAGGAGCAGTTAACCTTTGCAGTGTGGTGGTAGCCTCACTACAAGGGTTCATTTTTTTGTGTATCTGGAGTTCTTCTTTAACTGGGATAATGTGCAATGTTTAGAGTAGGGCTATTCAGATACCAGTGCAGATACTTTTTCATGAGAGCTACCAGGGTTGCAGAGGTTGCAGCTGGGACCTGGCTCTGGCGCTCCACCACTGTGCTGAAATCATTAGTCTGTATTGTTTTAGAAAAACTGTCACATGACAATAAACAAAAATGTATCAGTACTCGTACTTGTGAGCACTTGGACAAGTATCAGTACTTGTACTTGTAAAACTGGTATCTGTGCATCACTAATATATATTTATAAAAACTAAATCATACATTAAACAGGGGTGTGGAATTCCTATCGCCCGACGCCCGGGACATGCAGTTTCGGGCGCCGGGCGAGTAGTTTTAAAGTACATTTAGCCCGGCTCCAGACAAGCAGAGCTGAATGTACATTGTGGAGCCGCCGCCGCTCGTTTAATACAAGTGGTCAGATCAGACCACTTGTATTAATTTGAGCAGCGATCGTTTCTGCCCGCCCCCCCCGCCGTAGTTTTCGGGGTCGCCCGCTCTCCCGGGGGACCCCCGAAGACTAAGGCACAACGGCTCAGCCATGGAGCCCATAGAGCAGACGAAAAACGTCTGCTCTACGGGCTCTCTGTGTGTTCTCTGAGACCGTGGCGCTGTAATCACAGCACCACCTGTCTCGGCTGTCAGGAACTACACAGAACAGATGTTCTGTGTTGGAGGGCAGGTTCCATAAAGAGAACCTGTCACCTCCAAACTATCACATAAAGGGATTTGAATCTCCTATGTAATAGGAAGAACATTAAGGGGAAAAAGTACATAAATAAAAAGTTAAATAAAATCTAAAAAGTTAAAAAAATAAAATATATAAAGATTTAAAAAATGAAAAAGTAAAAAAATAAATAAAAATGAAACCCTGCTGCCCCCGCCATCAGCATGCAAATAAACGCATGCGTAGTACATTCTGCATGTGCTTTGAGATTGCAGCTGCCATTCCATGGTGGTAGCCAGAATTCTCTTACACACACATAATGTGCATTAAAGGGTAAGTTCATTTTCCCAGGTAATATGGAAAAATTAAAATTACCTGATGAAATCTGGCACTGTCTCTCCCAAACCGCCACCCCCCTGGCTATACTTACCTTTCGGCGAACAATCCCTCCCCATCACCAGTATGGGTGTACTATCTGTCCCCCGTACTGCTGTCCAGCGCAGTCCTCCCCTATGCATTTTGAATTTCGCTTGCAAATTGCAAGCACTCATTGGTCAACGTGGTCAGATGACTGCACTGACCAGTGAGAAGCGCTATTTAGCACAGTACTCGTACTCACCCAAATGCTCCGATACCTTCCCCGATATTGGAACTTACGGCCAGATGAAAATTTCCTCTGACTGGCAGTGCCGTAGGGGAACATGGAGCCAGTTCCCCGTGCAATCAGGAAGCCGTGCGGCAAGTAATGACCCACCTCCTGGTTTTCTGATTGGCCCGGGAAGGCGGCTTCCTCGCCAATCCGCATCGAGCCAGTTTCCCGGTCAATCAGGTCATTACTCGCCACCCGGCTTCCTGATTGATCGGGAAGCAGGTTTCCCGGCCAATCGCAATCAAGCAGGCCAAACAACATGGAGCCGGCTTCCGTGGCAATCAGGAACCTGGGCGGGAGGTCATTACCTGCTGCCCGGTTTCCTGATTACCAGGGAAGCCTACTCTATGTCAGCGGAAGCACCGGTATAAGTATTCAGTGTCGGCGAGATCCGAAAGCAAAAAATCGGTACTCGTACTCGATACCGAAAAACCGGTATTGGTGCATCCTTAGTTTTGATTAAAACGATTTTTTGTATTGGGACAAGTAGATTGTAGTGAAGGACAAATAGATTTGGCCCCCACTTTAGCCCTTGGACAAGTAGTTTTTTTTTAAATTTCCACACCCCTGATTAAAACAGATGTACAAATCCCAGGAGCTCCATGTGCTCCTTACAAGTGACAGCTGCCTCTTAACTTCTGAGTTTTTCTCTAGTCTAGTCTTGGAGCTGGAAAAGTGTCTGTACTTGTAATTGTACCGAGTACGGTACTTGGTATATGAACATCCCTAGTTTAGAGTTATTTATTTTATTTCAGGAACTCTTACTAGGCTCAGCATGAAACATTCAAAGAAAACAGAAACGGTATTGTTATGCTGGCCACATGCATCCAATTTGCATCTTCTTTTCATTTTATTTTTAGATTTAATTAGAATTTGTAATCATATTTGAAATCATTTTCATGAAATGGCGACACACCCTTGTTTTGCTGTTTTGTTTGATCCTATCTAAATTACCATCATTTAATTTGATTAGTGCTTATTCATTTTTTTTTTTGCTTTCATGCCCTGAAATGATTAAATAAAAACTAGTTTGATTATACTTCACATGTTACGTCCATGTTGAAAACAAGTGAAATTGTTCTACGTGTTTGATTATTTCTTCTTCGATTGAGTTACAAGTATTGAGAGAGTAAAATGTACTCTTCCCAATACTTTGAGTGAACAGACAAAGGACCAGAGCAATGTCATGTACAGTGCTGGGAGTTTCAAGATAAAACATGTGATGCTTTTATTGTATAATGCCCTGCAGATGTTTTTGTGATGAGGGTTTTCTTACAGTTTGTAAAGCAAAAATTAGGGATGTTCACATACCAAGTACCGTACCTGGTACAAGTACAAGTACAAGTACAGATACTTTTCCAGCTCCAAGACTAGACTAGAGAAAAATTCTGAAGTTAGGAGTCAGTTGTCATGTTTAAAGAACATTGTCAACGGGGTTCCTGGGATTTGTGCATCCCTGTTTTAATGTATGATTATATTATATATATATATATATATTAGTGATGCACCGATACCATTTTTTCCAGAGCATGTACAAGTACTTGTTCAATTACACAGATACCAATTACTGATACATTTTTGTTTAGTGTCATGTGACACTGCAATACAATACAGATTAATGATTTCAGGACAGTGGTGGAATGCAAGAGCTAGGTCCCAGCTACAATGCCAAGAATCTGAACTGGTATATGAACTGGTATATGAATGTTTCTAGCCAAAATCATTTTTTCCATTTTGGATAGCGTAAGGAAGGATTAAAACCCCCATCAGTTCATTTTTTGCTGTCTGTGTCCAACTGGGTAGATTTCGTCTCCTGGAGACAAAACAGAAATTCCCCTTTTAGACAGTTGTCACTTGAACAGAGGTCTCCATTAGAAGACTTCCCCCACCTCTTGCTCTGGTGCAAACTGTAACATTTTGGAATTCCCATCCCTTTCTGTCTTGGTGACAAAGGTCACCAGGACAAATAGAGATAGTGAATCTACTTAATGTGACCCATATATCAGTAAGATACATTGACAGGGGGGTGTTATCCAAAACTAAAGCATACGGATATACATACATTTTATGTGTAGAAGTGTACCTGCAATGACCATCTGATAGATCTGTCTGTACATGCAGGTTATAGATGTATTGAATATTGCCATGCACAGAGGCAAGTGCTCAGGTATAATAAGCAATAAATCAGCTACGTAGATGTTTTTCTTTTGCGCTCCGTAGACAGTGAAGGTATCATTTCCATTAGTGCGTAATGAGGCATATGCCATGAAAGATGCCAGTGATTAATAATTTTGTAGAAAGGAGGGAAGCTCCTGTAAGACTTCAATTTGCTATGCTGGCATGCTTGCTGTCATAAATCATCCGCCCGGATGGAAAAGGAAAGGCAGTGCCACCTCTAGATGAAAAGCAACCATTACATTGTTACAAAAATACAGTGCTGCAATGTTTTCAAGGCATGAATCGTATGAGAAATCCATTTGCCCGTGTAGAGTCACCTGTTTTCATGTAGTGAGATTCCAATTCAAGAATATAGCTTAATCATTGTTTTAAGTGTGAATTGTCACGTTACTAAACATTAAACCTTGGTATTTTCAGGAATATACATCGTGTTAATGTGTATCATCAGTGAGTAATAGAGCAATGGCATAATGATTCAATGTTCTCATGAGGACTGCCAGTGGTATGAGCAGCTAGTAGTTAGTTTCCTCTTTGTTTGCAGTATGTGACGTATTCATAGCGTTGTGCTTCTTCCTTCTTTAGGAACAAAATGTGTGCCTGAAAAATGCTGGAACCAGTTCAGGTGTTTTTCCCAGCCATGGAGGATGAGGAGTATACTTCAAATACGGAATATTCCATAGACGATCACAATGAAGTATTTGACCTTAGGCTCTCTCCACCTATCAATTTGACTATAACAACGGATGAGATGAATGTAAAAAACGAAGGTAGTGAATCCACTTTAAAGGATTCCCAGTTCATCCAAGAATACAACAAAGCCCTCACAGAAAACATGCAGAAGAAGACACATCTGATTCCTCCACTTATTCTTACAGTACCTTCCATGGAGGCTGATGTAAGCTACAATACACCATTTCAATTTGACAGACAAGCACCTGCCAGGATATCTACCTCGCCCACTTTGAGGAGGCTCAGGAAGAACACATTTGGGAACTTCTTGTCTTTGCAGGACTATTTTGATGCCTCCAAGTTTCCAGCTCACAAAGAGGAATCTGTCTTGCTATGCTCCTCAGACCAGTTTGAGAAAAATGCAGACTCTTTAGCAGCATCTGGCTGTAAGGGTACACTGGTGTTATCCTCTTCTCAGGACAATGGCTCTTCTGTATCTCAAAATTTAAACCATACTAGTGATGATTTGGGCAAACCTGGTCTCCACACTAATTACACAGATGATGAAAAGTCACCGAATCAAAACTACAATGGTCCATCTGCATCCGAAACAAAAAAGGATACCGGAGAGCTACTCACCTGTTCTAAGGTAAGCCATATTTATCATTGTGAAATATTAATCCAAAATACAGAGCTAAATACATTTCTGGAGGAAGTAATTTCATTTGACTTGTTTGCAAATATTCTACAGACAAAATCATTTTTGACAAAGAACTGTATGATGTATAAAGACAGTCGGTTGTATATTTAATTGGTGTTTTTAAGTATATTATTCAATATTAAATGTGTGACAGTAAAAATACTCAGAGATCACTTACCATACACTAACTGGTACTGTGATGAATGTCAACACATTAGATTTAAATTCAGAAATACTGATTTAGTTCAGGTTGACATTTGGCAAATGGCTAAATACATTGCAGTAAAGTAATACACTTTGGTTTAAGAACCATTCCATCCAGCTGAGTGGACAGCAAAGGAGCAGCAAACTACTTATGAGGCTACCCCTGTGTTCTCTGCTCTTCTAAGCATTTGTACAAAGTTAGAAGGAGAGCTAAGAGCAAGTGATACAGCTCTAATTAGCTAAAGCTGGCCATACACCAGAAGAATGTAATTAGAAAATTATGTACATTTTCAGATTGTTCATTCAATCTTCTCATAGTTAATGGGGCCAAATAGACAATCGATTTTGGCCATAGTGATGAAAGCAAACAAAGGAACAGGATGAAACATTTTTCTCCGGTGGATAAATCCTAACAGTGTATGTGGTTTCTGTTCAAGAAACTCCATTCATTTAAAAATTGAATGTTAAAATCAAATGAAATTTCGAATGACATTTGTCATGTCTCTGATGACATTATTGAATGTTCTGATGATATTATTTTCATGTGACCATTCGTGTCAGTGTATAGCCAACTTAAGGACATGGAAACATTCAAAATGTAGGGTCTATTTAAAGTAACATCTGCGATAGTGACATTTATGGGGGCCATACACTGTGCAAATTTCGATCGCTTCTTTAGGAACCAGACAAAATTCACACAGTGGTTGCCACTCTCGGCACCCATTCGGTCGGCATGCCTTGATCAGCTCATCAAAGGAGTCGGTCGGAAAATATGTTCGGGTATCTGTCAGAATACAAAAGAAACAGCGGGGATTCCTTGAATAACGTCATCAGCGTTGATAGAGAGATCTGCCCCCCCCTCACAGTTTGAGTTCTGCTGTACATGGGGATTATGAGGAGGGTGGTACTTATACTAGTGAATAGAGTGGAGAGAGAATACCTCTCAGTTATTATTGCTGTCTGTGTCCCGTTTATGGAGATTCACCCTGTCTATTTGTCCTGGTGAATCTGCATTAAGAGTACTTGCAGGGACCCTTCCTGCTGCAGAGATGTCCCTCGCTCAGCAGAAATTCCTGTATTGTAATGTGGTCTCTCTTACCAACACTCCCAGCAGCATCAATTTTGCTGTAAAATCACAATACAAAAATCTTTGCTGATCTGGGCCTCATCTTTGCAACAGGCAGTGTTTCTTTAAGTACTCTTCATACATATTTCCAGCCTGGAAAGTTTCCAGGAGTATTAGGTGGTGATCAGGTGAGGAAAGGGTCTATTTAAAAATTCATAACTGGACAAAATAGAGCTTTTTGTAGCTACCTTGAGTTCAGGTTTAGATGTAGACACAAATTCGTCTTATGAAGTGGGAAGGTAAAATCAGAAATTCAGCATGTGTGCTCACTTGAACTTTGCTTAGTTGCAGCATTTTACAGTGTCACCGGGGGTCTTAACAAGCATCACTTATTACATTCATCCTATCTTAATTACTTTTAGGAAATGAATGGGAACATAGGAGCAGAACATTGTGTCTCTGCTGAACTAGGTCATGTTTGCAAGCTGACAGAAGAATGAAATCACATATCTAACAGTCAATATTCTTAGCAACCAACGCTAGTGAATGCTGGCACTGTATCATTCTCTCATTAACGGTCATGATTTAGCTTGTGGTTATACAGAAGAGGTCCTTAAATCTAGTACTTCCTGGCACTATATTCATCTCATACTAAGTTCATTGTTAAACAAAGTCACACAGGCATCAAAGAAATCAAATCTTAGGTTACATATGAAGAATGGAGCTGGAAACCTCTGTTGAAACCCTACCAGTTCTGAAAGCTATGAATATGATACACAATTATATATGAGTATATCTGAGTTCAATGTGTTCACTAACGTTTAATTATAGCAGTGGTATATAATACAGTAATTAAAGTAGAATTAAAGTCTCAATTTCTTTTGCATATATCTACTGCTAGAAGGCAGTAGATATATGCCACAACATAACAAAAAAAAAAAGCGCTCTACTATGAAATACTTACCTCTGCACGTCTGCACCGCTCACTCCCGGCTGCAATACACAGATTTGAACAGCCGTGCAGGAGGATGATGTGGGCAGGCGCATGCACAGTTCGTGTTACTGGCGGGGAGAGGAGTAGAGACAGTACTGTGTCAGTGAATGAATGCAGCCAGGAGCCTACACGTCAGACAGACTACATGGGACACAGAAGTCTGCGCTGGATCAGAGACCGATACCAGCACTGGAGGGACTGCTGGAAACGAATGGAAGGAAGAAAATGACCGCAGCAAGAGGCATAACATAAGGTAAGTATTAAAAGCAGTAAAGGTAAGTTAAAAAAAAACCGTGACTTTAATGCCACTTTAATATAGTGCAAACATCATTTTGGACACCACCACCCATACACATATCTGTGCTCTTATATTTCTAGTAAGTTTCAAAAAAACTGATGAGTTCCTTTAGTCTACAGGCAGACGGGTCTTTTATGTGCGTCTGGGGGTTCCTTCAGCAAGAACCTGCAGATTTTTGCAACAGGAGTCCCAGGTGGGTCCATACAGACACAATCTGCCTGTGTCCAGGGATAATCATCTATGCAGACTTGCAGGTAATCGTTCCATGTACAATTACATGCGGACAGCCATGACCAGTTGTGGCCACTGTCAGCCTGTCATTCACTCGAATGGGCACATTGGCCACATCTGTACGGACCCACCTGGGGTTTATGCCAAAAGAGGCTTTAGGCCCCTTTCACATGGGTGCCATCAGTTCACTGCCAGTTCAACACCTTCACTGTTTTAACATTTGTGTTCATCCAGTTTTTTTCTCCGTCTTGCGATGAAGAAAAAAACTGAAATTACCAGACACATGTTGGTATATAGGGAATGTGATGTAAATGGACTTGCTTACATTCACCTGTCGGCTGCGGAAGCTAGCTCTGGGGGAAGGGGGGGGGGGGGTCGGTGTTAATAGTATCTCTCAAGCAACCAGAAACTACAGTTATCCGGCACCTAACAATCCCCGTGGGTGCAGGATAAGTTTACTGTAGTATTAAAGTTGAATTGTTGTTGTGTGTAGCTACTGTATGTATGTGTAATGTGACTGCCATTGTATCCTATGTATAACATAAGTGTATCTAAAGAGTGACAAAAAAAATAAGCAGTTTGTGTTTTTCTTGTCTTGCAGCTGAAGGAGTTTCACCAGTCACGGTAAGGAGGAGGGAAAGAACTTGCTACAGTGTTTACATGTTGCTATGTTGATTTCAATCAGATATGCTTCACATTTATAAGAAACATTTGGGTTGCTGTTCTATGTGATACCTGTGTATTGGGATATAGGTAACACTGCAGTGAATGCATTTGAAACTTTTCATATGTTCGCAACATTTTACAGAACAGACCAAGACCAATGATGATGCACATAGTGCAGGAATTCTTTGGTGCAGATAAGCAAACATTCAAATCCACTTCACTATCATTGCCCAGTTTGGTGGGTTGGCATCTGCAAATTTGCCTAATAAAAACTTTGTTTATAAATGTTTTTAAAAGTACATTCTTCCCTACAGATAGCAGTTTTATTAACGAGGCATATAAACCTTTTAGCAAGAGGACAGATGACAGTGCAGTTCCCACTATATTTCTTTCAGCACTGGACTGTTGTTTCAGAAACAGGGCAGAAAACCAGTGGTGGACTTCCGTCACAAGATACCGGCCAGGAGATACAGTAAATGGTTCTCTGGCAGAAGTTACAAGAATTAGATGTCATTATGTACAATTTACCTGCCCCACCTTGCTATAATGTGAATTTATTATTAGGATGAATCTCACAGAATCCCATTTTCTGCTACTGTGTGGTGAAAAATCTGTCTCTTTAACTTTTACCTGTAAGGGGCCCAGTCGGGTTGAAAAGAATAGAACTAGCTATGTATCCTATAGGTGATAATAAGAGATTACTGATTCAAAAATCATCCTATGACTACAGAAACCCAGATCCATACCTTCCACAGCAAGCATCTTTCTAAAGCCTTGATTCCTAAACTATGGGTCATGGATCTGTTTGCCAAGGGTTGCCCGCCCCAACAACTGCCACTGAAGTAGGAGCAAGAGTTGGACTCAACAGTTTACACGCAGCGCAGTGGCATTGAAAGCCCTGTGTGCCTGCATGTACTATATAAACACACTATCCTATAGATATTCCATATTTGGGGGGCTGGAAGAAGTCCTTATTTTTTTTGTAAAATGTTATTAAAGCCAGTTTACGCACCATGCAAAGATTGCAGCAAAGGTCTAGACTAAGTATTTCATGCATGCAGCCCCATGACAGGTTTGTGCACTCTAAAAGTTCTATGTCATTTGTTGCTTGTATGCATGTATCAGACCAGAGATATTCCCTATAGAATATATTTCTAATTATTTATCAGATCATCAGAAGGCAATGAAGAAGATGTGGGTCAGATTGACACACATGACACCACTCATTTCGCTTTGCATAATATAAAGATGCAGGAAGACAGAAGGGTGCTGATATGTTGCTTTGTGATCCTGATAAGTCTTAATCTAACATACAGTATTTTGAATATTTTGAATATTGTGCCCCAAGCAAGTGATATTCTTGGTACTTCCAGGTATAGGAGAGCATAAGACTCACTCCCCATTCTGCCATGTGACATCACTAGTCCTAGATGAGCTTAGGTTTCTTGGCAGCTTGGCCCTATATAAAGTCAGAGTTGTGATTTTGAGCATCTTCTTGTGGGTGAATGGGGCAAAAAGAAGGTAGGTATAAGCATCAGCAGGAACCAGCATTAAAGTGAACTTGTAACAGGAGAAGTTCTGAACCCCTTTTGTGAGGAGACTGTTTATAGTATATGAAGGTCAGTTAGGTTGGTAGGAAGACTAAAACTTTGAAGCGGGTGGTTAAAGCCTCATTCACACTTGGACACAGACTGTCTGCGTCCAAGGGCGTGCATCCGTACCTGTAGAAATGTGCATGTTCAGGTTGGCATGTAGCTGCATGCAGCTGAGTCCTGCCATTGAGTTTAACGAGCAGCTGCTGCGAATGTGGATACTGTGAATGAGGCCTTACAGGATTTGTGTAGGTATAACCCATATTTATCCCCCAGCCTCCCTCTCTCACTCAAGAACATGTCCCAGCATGATTTTTGTTCTTTTACCTTGTTTCTGTAGGGGGGAAAAACAGCTTTTACCACTGCCTGTGACATTATCAGCAAACTTGTATGATTCTCTCAGGGGCAGTTGCTGGGAGGAGAGATCAAACCTAGATGTTCCCTATATTAGTTCCTAATGACATAATCATGCCCCTCCAGAACTCTCCCAATAGTCCTCTTCATACAGGGTCATTGGGGGTGGAGGAAGCTGCACTGTTCTGCTGGGAAAGCAGTCATTGTATGCATGTGGACAGGGACATAATTCTGTAGTCCAGCAGAGAACACAGATGACGTAACTTCTTGGTATTTTTGTACAGCTAGTGTTGTTAGCTCAGTACAAGAAATTAGGAGCTCACTGGATTTCCAGCAGGATGACTAGGTATTTTGTTGTACTTGCAGTGAATTTAAAGTGATAAAACATGGGCAAATGTGCATATATTCCAGAGATGTACCAGATGGTTTTATTTTATTTTGCCCTGACATTCTACTTAAAATGACAATGTTACTTAATATGGCCTCTTCATCAAAATGGCTGATTCTATCCAGAATGGGTGATGATTATCATGTCTTTATATATCTTTGCCACTCACTCTTATTTCCCTGAGATTAGGTTGGAGTTAAGAGTGTCTGTAAACTCCATGCAAATTGCTAAATATGCTCACTTGGGCAATTCATGTGTGCAAATTTATACACAAGTCCTCTAAAAATTGATTATGGGCGAACAGATGCAGCACACATATCTGAACATGTATGCATTCCACACTTACTGGGGTTTATTTACTAAAAATAAATAGATTGTTTACTTTGCAAGGGAAAATGCACTTTGCAAGGGACGTCTGCCCTTAGCTTAGTGAATAAAGTGAGGTCTGCTTACTTCTATCATCCAGTCATGTGCAAGCAATTTCTTGTTTTTTTATTTTGATATTTCTGGTTTGCCTTTAGTAAAACAACCCCAAAGACTCTGTCAGACTAATCCAAGTGTTTTTCTTACACTCGGTTTTCTTTATTGAGCAGTTGCCAAAATCAATACATCATAGTTTTCCAATTGTTCTTGTCTGTATTTATTAATTATCAAAACAGGGTTAGGCTCTTTTTAATAGGAGGCTTTTGTTAGTTGTGTTAACTTTGTCTTGCTAGTAAACAAACTTCAGTTTGTTCTAAGCAGGTATGTGCATGTCTTTTGCATTTGTTTCTATTAACTAGGTACATATTTATTTATATCAAGGAAAGCTGCTACGGAGTAAATCAAATATACAATAGGCGTAGTGTTGTTTTGCTTAAAAACAAAAAAAGAGTACAAGCACTGCGATCAAAAGCTTACAACTTAAAGTGAACCTATGAACTTTACTTTAACTCCCTTGGGGCCTATTTTTATTTTTAGGAAAAAAAGCAAACTGCACAGAAACAGCAGGGACAATTCTTCACCGTTTTTTTATTTACCCAGCATGAATAACTCATACAAACTGAGAGGGGATTGCATGCATTATTAGAAAACACCAGTAGAAACAGGCCCTTAAGCTGCAGTCAGCCACCAAGCTTTGGGAACCAAAGTAGCTATTAGGATGATAGAGCCAAAGGCTCCGACCATGTGCATAGTAACACCCTTAGGTGTCTGCTATGTATGGTTGGCACAAGACAAGAGGGCGCTTAGTACGTGGGAAACCGGTTAAAAATCATAAATTATTAACCCTGCTGTTTTGTCCCAGGGAAGAAACTCCTTGTATACTGTAACTCCTTAGGTGTCTGCTATGCTTGGCTGCCTGCAGTAAGGGTGAGTTAAAAAGTCAGTTCTCTGAGCTTGAGCTTTATTGAAGTGGATCTTATAATTGATATCCATTCATCATGGAAGTCCTGTATAAGTATTGAATCTGCGGTATTCAAGGATGTTGCTGAAAGTCTCCATATTGTTTTTGTAAAAAACAGCATTGTTTTTAAAACACCACATCCACCACACAAAGGAACCCAACAGCCCCAGGGGCTGTTTTATTGATTTCTAATGCATTTCATTCTATAGAGAGCTTCCTCAGAGCTAGCACATCAAAGGTGAGCTCTGCTTCAATTCCTTTCTTTCTATTTCAACAGGGATTGTATAATTGACTGAGCTCAGAGAACTGACTTTTCAATCACAAAGCGCACATGTTGGTGTGGATCACCACACAACAATCTCTGGTGTTGTTTCTCAGTCATGCTTTTAAAATCATTTTATAATGGATGAAGGAAATCTATACATGAAATATTGATGAAGTACTGTGTAACTGGGTGTTGATGTGGGATATACCTCACCCACATCCACCTTACCTCCATATGCAATCCTGTTTGTTGAGATGTTTCTTTAGTGGATAAAACCTCACCTATATCTATACACCTGTCACAGGATTGCAAACCTACGAGTAGGGTTCGATTACATTGAATATCTGCTGTTTAAAACATCTGGTTCTGGAGAGATTTTTTGACCTAGATATATAAGAACCATCACTCCCCACACTGATACTACACATGTCAATATACGATGCATGCAGCATTTACTTGTATGGCTCTATATTAGGGAACTCAACAGGACCAATACTTATTGTGGTTTTTATAGGGAGGAGATTTATTATGGCTGGGGACTGGGGTTGTTATGTGCACATTTAGTAAATTACTCATAGATTTATTTGAAATAAAATAATTTTTTTAAATCTAATACCTATCTGGTTTGGATAATAGTCATTTGATTGTGTGGCTTCTCAGCTGATCCCTGATGTGTAATTTAGTGGCAACCTATTGTTTTCCTATATGCACATTAAAGCATTAAAGTGACAATAAAGTAAAAAAAAAATTCCCACGCCCCATGTTAATGTTAGCACTTACCTTAAATGATGTATTTTATTCCGATCTTCTTCTTCTTTCCTGATGTTTTCATCTGTCCCTCCAGCGGTGCGGCGGGTCTCCGATCCAGCGCTGACTCCTCTCTGCTTGCAGGCACTTCTGATCCAGCGGTGTCTGCATGCGGGTGCACGCGCCCATAGACTTACCTTGCGTCTCTGCTTGTCTCCCGGCCGAGGATCGGAACTCCGCATGCGTCCGCCCCAAGATCCTTTGCGGCCGTACGAGCAGTTCCTGATTCTCGGCGCGGGAGCGCGCAAAGAAAAAAAGGTGAGTTTAAACCGCTGTTTTAGCGGATTTTTTTTTAAACTGTTTGATAGCAGTAGATAAAGGCAAAAAACGGGAGGGTTTAGAACCCCTTTAACAAATTATGAACAAACCAAAAAGTATTTTAAAACAAGCTCTCATTCACTTCTGTAGCTATAGGCACTGTGGAGAAATCCATTTTGGAAATCACCTTAGCCTTTTTACATAGAGCACAACCTGCCAGCCTTCCAGCGTTAACAGGTGCTTGTACGCTCAAAGAAGCAGACTGAAACACAACTTTAGAGTCTCTGTTGTGACAGTTGAGAAATATACTTTACAGTATTAGCAGCTAGAGAGATCAATGATGGCTTGTTTTGAAGCTCTTTTAAAAGAAATTTAAAAACTTTAACCTCCATAGTCTTGGCACCGGTGCACTTTAAAAGAACCACATTTGAAGTGTTAGCATAAATAGTGGCTTCAGCTGAGAAACTTCAATACTGGCATGTCGTCCTTCACCTTCTCATTGGTCAGGGAGGCCACTGATCACATTCACATTGAGGGACTAAGAGTGACAAGTGAGTGGGGGGGTGCCAGAGTTCAATATTTCAAGCTGCAGTCATAATTTCATAATTAAATGTTCCCATGTGGGGCTGCTAAGGAAAGAGTAAGATGGTGTTACCCGCACCTACATCACCTTAGCCTGTCAGGTGCATTACACAGGAACCAGTGGTGGGTCATGGTCCTACAAATGACAGATCTACAGTCTGCCTTTCTACGACAAGCTAAACCTGCTGGCAACAAGAGTCTTGTTCAGTTTTAAATCTGCATTAAATTATTCTTTATACCATGCACAACGATAAAATTAAAGTCTTTCATCAGTGAATAAACCTAAAAATAAAAAGTTATTCTTGAATGTGTGTTCCTTGGAATAATCACTGCACCTCTATTTATTATTGAGGGACTGAGCAGAAACCCAGCTTCACTTTCTCTTGTTGGAATAATAGCAATTATCTGATAAAATCTGACCTGGGTGATATCAGTTAGGGGGTGTCTGCACAGGTTGCACAGTGTCCAGTTGTCTCGTTATCCAAACACAATGATGCATATGTTGCAAATATGTATCTCATGTCTATGAACACCTTATTATTACTAGTAATAAGATGGAAGCAGACACAACTATAATAGAAATGAATGGCTTGCTGCTCTGGTAATCCATCCATGTTTTCTTTTCATACACACAGTGGGCTTCAATGGGCCTTACTTGCTGTACAGGTTCTGCTCTGTTTAAACTGAGATAAATGTAAACAGAGAATAGACATATCCAAAGTGCTATGTGCTGCTATGTACATAATGTTAGACGTACTTAGAGTTCATTTTGGCATCTATGCATCTGGCAACAGCATGGACGCTTTCTCAGAGCCAGTTCAGATTTATTTTCTGCTGTAATATCAAGTCCAACTCCTTACCACACCTATTAGCTCCCACAGTTTTTTTGGTGGGGTGGTTATGGTCATGTCATAACTAACAATATATTACAATAAATTCATATTTCACTTTTATTGCATAGAATTAGATCAGCTCAGTAGCTCAGGTTTTCATTTTACCTCGGCTAAGAATGGTCATCATTATAAGCGCTAATAATTAACATCAATCTTTTTCACAGGTACAATATATGGAATTTTGAGACCGAAACTGTTGTGCTTTTGTGTGATGGGCAAAGCAGCAGCGTTTCTTAACTGCCACCCTCCCCAGCTATACAAAAATATATTCTAGGAGATACTTTTTTCATCAGAAGATAATTTGCTTGCCTTCTTCTGCCAGAAAAAACTTTTATCTTGCTCCTAGCAATTTGTTTTTCATAATGTAGACTGACTGCGGGCATGGGCAGCGTACACTTTTGGCCCAGAAGCCTTTAGGCCCATGAGATACCAAGAACAGAGCTGGGTGTCAGGAGGACTACATCATTGGTAGCCAGAGGGAGGGATGCAAACCCAGAAGAAGCAGTGGGTGAAGCAGCAAGGGAGAGCTCTGAATTGCCAGTGCTAGAGGAGAGCAAGTAGAGTGGACTCTGCCATAATGTATATGTCATACAAGCACATTGTGGAAAAGTGCAGCACACCTACAGTTTGGTTTTGAGTTAAACCTTCGTTTTGCCTTTCATGCACAAAGCACATGTTCATTTCAAGGGCTTGTACCATGTGCATAGGAGTTTAAAGTGTATTTCCACTTTTGCAGCTAAATTGGGGTAACATCTACTTTAAATCTGTTACAAGTTCTCATTCACATAGCATAACTTAAAAAAAATATTTAACAATTGGTGAATACCTTTTTTAAGGTCTTTTTACTTGCCTAAAAAGACTACCTAGCTTCCCCTTTATAAAACGTTAGGGAGGAGGCTGTGGAAAGTTATGTTTAACCCTGTCAGTACTGCGCTGACAGATTCCATTATCATTTGTAAACTAGATTTAAACACTCACTGTATTAACAAAGGGTTAAGACTTAGAAGCATTGTATGTTAATGAGAGGAAGATCAGTCTGTCCCTTTACGTTCACTTTCAAATCGCTCAGAGTAGCCAGGAATCTGCACAATGGCCTTCACTAATGATAAACAGCTAAAAGGTAAGAAATATTTAAAAAAAATATTTTCAATATGCCGAGTGAATGGGATCACACAACAAACATATAGAGAGTTTTCTCAAATTTGACTGCGAAAGCGGAAATACACGTTAAGGAAAGAAAGGACTATTTTGCGGCTTTTTAAGTGTAGAGTGGTCTGTTTGCCATAATTATCATCTGTAAAGTGTGGGAAATGAGGGAGGAATTAATTAAAAATATTCATCCACCATTGGTGTCCTCAGGGTTTTTTTTTATTTTTAGTTGCTTGTGTCCCACCTGATTTTTTCTTTCAGCCTCTTGGAATTTCAGGATGATTAGCATCTAGAGACAGTTGTCAGTGACAATAAAGACAGAACAGACAGACTGGTCAAGCAAACACAAAGACAAGCAATTAGGTTACATTAAAAAAACCTAAATAGGGCAAAACATAGACAGTCTGGCTACAGACAGAGAAAAGCTAGGCAAATAGTGGCTATTTGAATACTCTGCCAAACGATAGGGACTAAAGAGATTATAGAGATTGTAGCAATATAGCGTCAGAAAAAAAAGAATGGTTGTAGCTTTAAAAAACAGCAATATCATTATTGAAAATATTTAACTGTAGCTGTAGAATGACTATAAACGAGGGAAATATGATTCACTTGATTTTTGTTATATATGATTCAATTTTTTTAATACAATTTTTTTTCTCATGGAATTTTTAATCCCTCTGACCATAGCAATGTAGCAGATTTTAGCAGTCACATTGCAGTGATTCCACTGCCAACCCCTTTGTGCGATCAATCACAATAATGTCTTCTCATTGCCTGCGGATTTTCTATCTCATTGAAAAATTAGAGCTATGCATCAAAGGGCCTTACACAGTTCAGAGAGAGTCTGAATACAACATTTTTTCATGCTCCTTCTTAAGAAAGTGCATACTATTAATAAATGTTTATGTATAACATAAAATATTTCATATAGATATTAAACATAACATATGCAACTTTAATTTAAGAAATGTAAGCTTTACAAAAAAAGAAAAGAAATTGACCCCAAACCATTTAAGGTTCCCTTGATAAAGGCTACTTTTGTTTATTATTAGATTAAGCATATTGTGTTTGTCAATTATTGTGACCATTTAGTAGTCAGTCATGCAGAAATCAAGGGAGTTTCAAAGGGTCCCTGATTCCCCAGTCCCTGATAATAGTTGTATTACTTACCAATACTGTGAAAATGATGCAGCACAACAATTGCAAGTTCTACTGAATTCTTGCCAGAAATGTAGAAGCCACCATTTTGAAATCTAATCGTGGTATTACATTCTCCTTTTTCAATTATGCTGGAATGTTAATAAAGATAAGTAGTAATCTTCCTCCATCAAATCAGTTGGGCACAAAATCAGAGAAAGGCTGTCAACTACCTGTGTTAAAGTTTATTAACACATGTCACTCAAAGAGTATTAGCTGAAATGAGCTTTAAGGTCTGCGAGATACTTTGAACTTTTACATATTTGGTTTGTAAATGGCTACAGGCACTGTGACCAGACCTTGATAAAAAGCCTAGAGTCCGCTATATTCATAACGGGTTGTATTCACTTATTTTGTGTAATGATGGTGAGATGAAAAGAAACATAAGGCAGAGATTCCAGAAAGCAATCTGCTATAAAAATAGTTAATGCATATACAAAAGGCGCTGTGCTAACTGTGTCCTACAGAAATGGGTAAGCGGAAATAAATGATTTTCAAGTATAGCACAGCATTTCCTAACCCTTTTTACCCTTTATAAGTAACAAAATCTTGAGGCACCCCAGTCTAAAATGTTTAAAAAAACATGTGATCCCTCTAAAATCCATACCAGACCCTTATCCCTGAAAGGGGTCTGGTATGGATTTTACAAGGGGAACCCATGTCTTTTTTTACATTTACACAAAAAAGGAGTTCCCCTTCAAATCAAGAGACCCCTTTTTACCTCAGAATCCCCCCTTTCACATCAGAGTCCCCATTTACAGTAGGAGCCCCCTTTCTTCACATCAGGAGCCCCCTTTTCACATCAGAAACCTGTCTGCATCATGAAAAGGTATTTGCAAAAATGTTGTTGAAGCCAGAGGGCACACCAGGGTGCCACAGCACACGGCATAAGAAAGCCTGGTTCAGCATATACACTAAAGGACCTCAAGTGGCTTACATTTTATTTGTAACAACTACTTTTTTTTTAATATGAATATTTTGTTTTTAAAGACAGAGTGAAAGGAGGCGCAGTTCTATAGTGCTAAGCATACCCGGTCTGGAGGTGTTTCCAGGAGATCTTTTAGTGTCTGATGGCGCCTCTGATTACATGTACAATGCTCCGTGGTTGCCTAATGCAGGTGAGTACATTACTGCCTAAAATGTAATTAAATCACATAGCAGTTATATGCAATAAAATTATCTTGCCTTACAAGCTAGTTAACATACCAGTTAGATGACTGTCATCCAGAACCTACAAGTTTTGCAGGTAGTGTGCACAATCAGGATGTTCATGGGCTTTAGAAGATATTCTTGGGTCCTTGTAGGATACAAGTTTATTTGTGAACATAAGAATTTGTGGAATAAAAAATCTTTAAGCAGGCCAGGTTATTACTTAAAGTAATTCTGTCAATCTCAAACTGAGCATATGACTCAAAAAATTCATAAGTAGATCTTACCTCATGTTGAAATGAGCAGTACATCCAGAGGACACAGATCTCTGCTTTTTATTTAGATGTCAAGCTTGGCCCCATACCTCTCCAGAGATTTACTATTTGCCTTTAATATAATTGACAGGCTTGCATATCAATACACAGGCATGAAAAGTGGGGCCTATTCAAATTTTACAGGAAACCTTTGCATATAAGTTTTACTTTCTATATTCATGTGTCTACTGATGTTTTTGACATGCGGTTTTCACTTGAACTGTATGTATATCGAAAACTTTTTTTTAATTTTGGATAGAGTAGGAAAGAGTGAACCCCCTCCCCTGCTGGTTTACTTTTTGTTTTCTGTATTCTGTTGGGGAGATTCCCCTTCACTTCCTCTTGTTGAGGAAGTGATATAGGGAAATTCCTGTCTTAGACAGTAGTTGCTGGAACAGGTGTCCCCAGTGGAAGGTTTTCCCTCAATTCAAGTTCTGGTGGAACTGTACATTTTTGGATTTCCCACCATTTTCCTCCCCAGTGAAAATGGTCACCAGGGCATTTACAGAGGGTGAAGCTACAAAAAACATGACAATCTTTCTAATGTGCTCTATCCAAAAACTGGCTATACAGAAATATTAAAGCCAAACTCTAACATAATTATGCTCTCTAGTTTGGAAAATAATATTTTTTTTCCATTGTTGCCTTTGGTTGCCACCCCACCTCTAAGTTATAAGGTGCACATGATCATCCAATCCCTTACTGTAAACCCAGGCTGGGATATATTTGGTCTTATTGTCATCATGCAGCCTGAGCTTACAGTGTACTGCTGCACAGAACAGCACTCACATGTCACAATGTTGCTCTGTGTTGGTGTTATTCTATACTCTATTGAAGCCCACCCACTGCCAAATGATAGAGAAGAGAGACGAAGTTTGTCATCATGTGACAACATGGAATCCCCTTGGAATTATGGCATGCATTCTTAAGCATTTTTTCTTGATATGCTCTTTTTGAATTGCGTAGGTTTGTGAAAGGTTCACTTTAATGTTCAGCCTCTGTCTTATGTCTGTGGAGGCTGAAATAATGGTTCAGGAAACAGACCTCACATGGCGGGCTATGAAAGTCTTTTCTAATTAGAGATTAGAATTTATCAATTAGTGTGATTATATAAGAGACGCAAATAGGTCATGTATTACACAATTCCTTGCTGCTACTGTTGATTAACTTTAAGTAACAGTTTGGTCAACATGTTCATTAGGTAAAATACATATTCCTAGGATGGCAGGCTAAACCATAATGACACATAGAATGCAATTACTCCAAATCTAACTTTACTGGTGAAAATGAAGGTATTAATAACACAGTATTTCTGACTAGATTCGAAGAAACCCAAATGGCCTTTCTCTAAGAAAGCATCAGTAAGTATTTCATTTTATTTATTTATTTATTTATTTTGTTTTAATAATGGTCTTTAATGTTAAGTGGAGGGAGACAATCATGCATGATATTTTAAAATAAAGTGACAACTAAACCCAGAAGTCAAATGTAACAAATACATTCAAGTACCTTAACTATTAACAAAAATGTATCTAATTTGTGTACCACTCAGCTGTAGATCCTCAAATCATCTCTGAATTGGTGCCGACACTGTCCTTCCTTCTGGAGGGTGGCTACTTTTGTTCCCCATGGTCGCTGTGTGTGTTGTAAAGTAGCCACCGCTCCAAGCTCACTTCTGTGATGGACTACAATCTCAAATTTAATTTACTGATTTGTATTGTGATTGTAGTCCATCACGGGAGCGAACTTGGAGCGGTGGCATCTTTACAACACACACAGGAACCATGGGGAACAAAAGTAGCCACCCTCCAGAAGGAAGGACAGTGTTACTATGAATTCAGAGATTTGAGGATCTACAGCCGAGTGATACACAAATAAGATACATTTTTGTTACTAGTTAAGGTGCTTGAATGCATTTTTAAGATTTAACTCCTGAGTTTAGTGTCACTTAAGACACCCTACTACTCTATCCAATAACAGTTTATTTGTTCAAAAATAATTGGGCTGATGTTTTGAGGGGTGGGATATTTTTTGGGCTCCCAGCTTCAATTACTGCCAGGGATAAAGGGTATACTGGGTGTTATCAGCATAAGAGGGGTCTGCATATTTGCAGTACTGTTGTTTTGGGAACTTATAGAAGGAAATATTTTTTTTAATTTAAGAAGGTCCCCCTGCAGGGGGTCCAACAGGCCATGAATTATTTGCAAATATGTGACAGAAGAGAATAAACCTCAGTTATAATGAGTTTCAGACCTGGGGATCGATCTGTTTATCTTTAGTGGGTTATTACCAAGATTAAAAGACTCTGTATATCAGCAGTTTATTGTACTGTAAAGATTACTTGCATATTGCTTATTTTCTTTTCAGTTTATCAAGGGGAAGCAAAAACAGATTTCAGATTTGGAAAATTGTCTATCTTTATTCAAGATCCCAGATTTCAATGAATATGAATTTTACAATATCAAGGTATTGTTGCAAAACCTAAGTTGCTAGTCATGCACTGTAAAATGAAAACTTCAACTATATTTGGAATTGACGAGGTTAATAAAGCCTAACGTCATTTTTTTTTCATGTTTTGTCTACAGTTGGGTAGAGTTATAATGTATTACAGGTTTAAAATGCTGTCTGTGTGCTGATTGGGGAGATTTCCATCACTTCATATTCAGACAGCTATTGCATAGATGGGCCTAAATAATTACTATAAACAAATGGTAGTATTGATACTGAGTATGTAATTGTAATCCATATAAATGCTGTTTGGGTGCATATGTGTAGCCACTGCTAGTTATAAATTCTGCCTACATTTTTTGTTTGGTAATTTGTAAAACATTTTTATTTATTGAAAAATCCTGTATATTTAAAATTCTGTATAATAATTATAATAATAATTTGGAGAATTTATTATGTTGTTCTTCTAAATACAGGATAAAACTTGGGATGAATTCAGAAACATGCATCAAATTGAACATATGAAGATTCCTAGTGCAGTGAACAGAAAAAGGCAGCAGTCTGTATGGGAGCTTTTCACCTCGGAATGCACTTATTTTTTGGAGCACTTACTAGTTCTGAAAATGGTGAGTTTGGTGGCAAATTGTTGCTTGAATTGCAGTGAATGTCTTTTCCTTTTTACTATACCCATTTCACCCATTTAGTAATAACCTGAAGAGATTTGCTACAGGTATAAATTGTGTATTTTGTATAGATTTTTTAATGTCTATGGGGACCTCTGGCTCATGCATGGCCAGATTGGATCACACTAGAGTACAACTTGTTTGCAACTGATCTGACTATCTATGACCAACTCTGACAGATACAGAAGGTCAGGAAGGACAACAGAAGCAGTTGTACAGAAGCTGCACATACACAGCCAATAGTCTTCATGCAATCGTATCTTCGCACTATTATTATTTTTTTTACCTCAAAGGCTGAAAAATATCATGTTGACCTTCTACTTCCGAAATGTTGTATAAGCGATCAGCTTTATCATTATCTATCACTTCATACTACTGGTATTTTAATTGTAATTAAGCAGAAATTAAAATGCTGTCTGGATTCACAGGTCAGAAAGTACTGGATTCACAGATGGGAAACATATTCCATCTACAGGCAGGCCAACATAAAACATTAGAACTCACAATTGGGTGTCTGTCATTCACTCTGTGGTTTCCTTCTCCTCCCTCCACCCAGCTACACCTTGCCAAAAAGAGATGAGTATGATGGAAAATCCAAGAACTATTGACACAGTACAGGGCTAAATTGCTGTGTTGCACTAGTCATTTAGTGATGTAGATTATTTTATAACAGACTGGTCCGAAGATGGCAGCTTTCATTTTTCATGATCTGGCGAATATAAATGGAAATACTAATATAAAATCTGCTACAATAATCTGCTACAATAAATTCAGAGGCCAGTCTGTCCAATCCAGGAGCTAGCTCAAGTCACAACAACTAGAGAGAACTTTAAAAATTGAGTGCCGGCTATTATTTTCAGGGAGCATTGGCTACCTGGTTTCTGGGATTTGTCCAGCTCTGGTGTACTGTAAGGTTACCTATAATTGCAGGCCACATTATTTGGGCATTGGATCTTTGACATGTAATGATGCCCATAGATGTCAGAAGAAAGTTGCCCAATAATTTCCACACTATCTTGTCTATAGCCAGTTGTAGACTTGGCCAACAGACCTCAGGGAAGAAAGCGATCAGGCTACCTGACATGCACGTGTCTGAGTTATACTGTCTTGATTAGTAAGACAACAAGCAATATGCAAAGTGAAGTTACCAATTAGAATTTAGGTTTCATTGGTCTTAGACCTTTGCAGGAGACCATACCTTGCTAAAATGCTTTAAGGCATTATTGCTTACTGTATTTGCAACTTCTTCTATCAGTTGTTATTAGTTTTAAAAATAAACTTTTGTATACCACTTATGACAACATTGCACTTTTACTTTTTCTTTTGTTTATGCTTTAGATATTTTTTAATGCACTTAAGCACCTGCAGAACAATGATCTTCTATTGGATGTGGAACCGGTTAGGTTATTTGCTAATCTGGATGATCTGAACCAGGTAAATATGTTTCCTGCAATGTTTCTTTAATAAATACCATTTATTACATAATGGAAAGGATAAAGAAAATTGCTACTGAGGTAGTAAGACAACTAATTGTCATGTTCTATGATTAATGGGGATTGGTTGACTGGTATTGTTTTATTGGGTAGCTTTAAACCTAACTACATGACAAGTAGATTATATTTATTTATAGTGGAAACCTACTCCTCTGCCCAAATCTGATCCAGAGAGGACCATATTGGTGCATGGAGGCGTTTCTTGCTTGTCCAGAAGGGATTTTGTCCTATGTGCAGCTCTGATGCCTGGTAAGGGTGTTGAATGACCAGTCCTCTAAGGTCTCATGCACACAACGATGAGAAGTTCTTTGGAAAGTATAAACATCATTTATGCTTCCCATGTCACTTTTTCCTACATTTAGATGTTCCTGGGTTTAGCCGTGTTTACATATTTAGCCATGTTTGCATTTGTTTAGATGCGTAAAACCAGGTAAATGGTCCCAGGATGCAGAAAATGCTTGCTTGTATAAACGCAGTTAGGCTGAATGTATCTGGACACTGCTGAACGTCTAGGTGTGCATTCAGCCATGGGCAAGCATTACACAGCTGGTCAGCTTCAATCTGTTTTGTGTGTTTGCTATTTGAAAGAAAACCTTAGAAGAGTAATAGCTAACCACAATGTTCTTTATGTGTATGGGTGTCTTGAAGTCTTATACAATTCTGAATACATAAAAAGTGGGTTATACTTAGTCAAGCAAATTCTAAAATTATATTTTGCATTCTATGGGGAACAACATATACATAATATGCTTTGCAATGTGCAGTACCCCATATTGTCAAATAAGATTTCAGTTAACTGAGATGCTGTACTTTGCCATCTTTCTGAACACCACTAATGGAGGTATTTTTTATTTTTTTTGTATATCATTTTTTTTTCTCTAGGAGAGCTTAAATTTTGCCACCACCCTTTTTAACACGATTGAAGGCAGAGAACTGGGATCTGTGAAATCTTGCTCATTATCACTGGCAGATTTGCTAACAAAGGTCAGTCTCATAACTAAGACATAAGAGTACAGAGATAATGCAACATGATGACTACTACTTGTAAGCTATAATATAGAGGACAAACAAGCCTTGTAAATATGGTGTAAGTTACCCAGAAGAAAGTTGAATGTAGTATGCTGATATGTTGCTTTAACCTGCTTTTGACTATCTTCTAAAGTGCTTATAATTATCTTCTAGTTGTCAGGCTGCTTCTGAGATGCTTTGAGTTGCTTCAGAAATATTGGAAGCTGTGTTTTTCATTTATATTTATTTGTAATAAATTCAGAAGCAGACAAATGCCTGTGTATACAAATCATTATACATATACAGTGCACTCGTAAAATATGTACATTTTGGAACCTAAGCATTACAACTGGACTGTTCTTGATATATCAAGGACTGAAACAAATGACTGGGTAACAAAAATATTGATCAGGTGAACTGGATTTTCCAAAATGCTTTCTACTGAGATTTCTAAAGCTGGCCATACACCTTACAATTTATCTGCAGATTTTCTATGGTCAGATGGAAAAGGTTCAACAGATTCCTCCATCTACACTTAACTGTGTGGATGGAGTAATCTCCACCTGGACCAATCTGTTGGACTTTTTCCATCTGACCACAGAAAATCTGCAGATAATTGTAAGGTGTATGGGCACCTTTAGAGTGGCCCAGTTTGTTCACAGATAAGGAGTTTATCCAAAAGGTACACAATACTTTGGGTGCATGTTGGATAAGAAAAAGGTGTCCCCAAAAAGCTGACAAGAGATACAGCATGCATGAGTAGCTAGTTGCTGTTTAAAGAAAAGGTCAATTTGTTTTCAGATATTTGTGTTTTTATTTTTTTAATTACCAAGTTAGATGACAGAGACTCTAAACACCCCAAATACACACTATCACATTATTTTAAATATAAAAATTGGTAACTGGTAAAACGTTAGACAGTTAAGAGACCATAGCAAAAAGTCAAAAACTGCAAAACAATGTCTCTAACATGTCTCCACATTGTCAGAGAACATCAGGAAACCTCTGACATTTTCCTAGCAGCCAGATGACGCTAAGGGCCTGTTCACACGACGTCCGTTTTGTGTGCTGACCTGATCCGTACGCTCCTGCACTAAATATGCAGCCCAATGTATCCCTATGTGTTTTATGGGTTACAGTTCTCACGTGCGCAGTCCGTTCAGGTTACGACAGAAAAAATACTGCATGTCACATTTTGTCCGGTCAGGAAACGGACCGGAAACGCAAAACGTGTCAATGCAGCCAACATACTGACAGCCCCACTCCAGCAAAAAAAAACAATTTTTTTAAAAACTGGAATGCATCAAAAACGCGGCAAAACGCAGTGCATCAGTAGCACCGTGTCTGCAGATCCGCACCTGATCAGGACCTGACATCATGTGAACAGGCCCTAAGAGTACCTGTTACAATAATTTGTACACTGTCAGAATGACACACCTTTGGGATACTTGTTCAGGTACTTTTGGTAGAAATCTGGTCAAGGCCGTCCTCTTATTATAATCAGATGGCATGTCAGGTGTTAAAGCAAAAAAATAATAATATGATCTAATGCATCAGTGTCATTACAGTTATGCATTTTATTATTTTTGTTGTGTGATTTAGGAATCATGTCAGCAGTGTAAGATATATATTTATAAAGTACAGCTTGCAACATAAGTCATATACTCATATTGTTTTGTTTGTGTGATTTTGGTAAAATGCTCTATGTTTTATTATGTGTTGCAGTACTTCAAGGATAAACTCTGCTTAAGTCATCAGATCTATTGCCTTAATTACACATCTGCTGTCATCTATCTGGAGAGCCTGAAGCAAAGGGAAGATTTTGCGGCATATATAAAAGTAAAGTATTTCTATGGGATATAATACACCATTATAATTTTCCCCGTGGGGGGGGGGTTATTGATCAAAACTGCAGCAGACAGAATCTGTTAGTTGCCTGTGGCAGCCAATTGGCTTTTCTCTTACGTTTGTTCAGTAAGGTTTTTTCGATTGCTGTCGGAGACTGCTCTGCCCTTTGTGAGGTTGTACTGGGCATGAAGTTCAGGGAAGCCGAGCTGAGAGAGTTGGAGCCAACTGTTTGGTAACATGAAGTGTTTTGGCAAAAATACTTTGCTGGACAATATATATTTGTTTGATCTGGATTTATTATTGAAAAAATGTTGAGAGCTTAATACTACTTTATTTAAACTAAAACAAATCGGTCTTTTCGGGTATCTACCCATCCTGTCCAGTGCAATAGGGCCCATTTGTAAAGAGCACTCTTCAAGGCTTGTCATAGATTCTAAGATTGAGATCTGGCTTTTGACTGGTGCATTCTAGGACATTCAGGTATTCTAGTGTAGCTCTGTATGTTTAGGGTCATTTTACTCCTTGAAAGAGAACCTCTGCTCTAGCCTCAGATCTCTTTCAGCCTGAAACAGGCCTTTGCTTGAATTGCCCAGTATTTGGCATCATCGAGGTGCTCTCAGTACTTACCAATTTCCCAGTTCCTGCTGATGAACAGCATTCATACAACAGAATACTGCTATGGTAATGATGTTCTCAGGTTCATAAACAATTTCTGACTGTCTGCCGTAGTGAACAAAGGCCACAAAGTTTGGTTTTGAAATAATCAGGCCAGACATTTTCCCATGTTTGCTGTGCTTTCCATTTGCCTTTTGGCAAACTAGGTGTAGGATTTGATGTGTGTTTTTTTTACCCAATCACAGATGCATAGCCTTACCTATGTGTGGTTATTGCATCAGCGATTTTGCCAGTGTACAGGCCACAGTTGGTAAGGAAGCACTGAGTGGATGAGGTACACCCAAAGTATTTAGATTGTTTTATTTGGTTGTACCTCACATGCCTAAGTTCTTTTATTGGTTAAGTAGTCATCAAATGTATTTTGTAAATCAGTGACATAAAATTCTAATTACATTCTTTTTAATACCAGGTTGAAGTAGAATAGCAATAAATCGGATCAGATAGAATCCTCATTTAGCAAGTTTAATGATAAAAACTAAAGCTGGGAACAAACACCAGGGAGTTCAAAGAACAGAGACTTACAGGCCCCTTTTTATAAGATATTTTACAATAGAACCATATAGGCTACAATACCATTGGTTGCCAAGTCCTACATCACTGTAACTAACCATATCTCTGACATTTCTGCAGACAGTATGTCTTCTAACTTGATCTAGACACTTCTATATGAATACTATCTAAGCACATGGACTGACATGTGCTGAGTGTGTCTTATATGCTCTTAGGATTCATCTGTTGAATGTATAGGAACGTATAGTGCTCAGTAACTTTAACTGTTACATAATATTAATAATAATAACAATGTATATGCTAATTAACATTAAATGTTTTGGTTAATATCAAAACTCTACTACAAAGTTATTATCTATAAAATATGAAAAAGTTTGGGGGCGAATACTTATTGTATAAGTATACTCATACTGTATGTGTCTGCATTAAGACACATTCATAAGCTTAATTCCATTGAGTATATCACATTTATATGTCTACAAAATGTAAAAGTAAACTTGTGAGAGTAGAAATAAAAGGAACTGCCATTGTTGACTTCCTAATCCTAGCTTCTCTACCTAGTGCATTGACCTGAAACAAGCATGTCTGATGGGCGTTTAGACTTTTCAAATTTCAATGGCTACATGCTCGAGGTCACTAACTCACTAGGTAGTGAAGTTGCGCTCAATATGAATACCCTGGAGCAACCTTGAAAAAACAACAACAAAAAAGTCAGCCAGTGTTCGCGTCCCTATATCACAGGTTCACTTTAAGAAGACTATTGATGCCCTTTATCTTTTGATATGCAACCTTTAGCTTTCTTGTATTGGCATTCAGGAAATGGCATGCATCTAAATTGCCATATTTATGTGTGTGTACAGACCAGACCAGTAGATTCTGGCACAGAGATTTTTTGGTGCAGAGGATGCCGCCATTAGAGAGATAGGAATGCAAGGTTTAATGTGAGAGGGCTTGGGGTAGGACATTGCTCTCTATGTTGAAAACCACTAGTATATGGATATTCTATTTACATCTAATAGTGATCATGTTGTTTACAGTGGTGCGAGCAACAGGAGCAGTGTAGACGCCTTCACCTCACAGATTTGCTGGTGGCTCCACTACATCGGCTGACCCGATATCCCCTGCTCTTCAAGAATATATGGAAAAGAAGTAATGATGCAGCAGAGAAAGTGTCCATCTACTCAATGAAGGAGAAGGTGGAAAGTTCCATCAGTAAGTAATGTGGAAAGTTCCATTAGTAAATAAAGTGAAAGGGCCCTAAAATATATTACAAATAGTATATGTTCTTATAACAGAAGCCAAAAGACCAGTTTAGTGAATATATTGTATACTAGATCTGCATATATGAGTTTGGGTTAATTCTGTAGTAGATCATTTTATCTCCCATTGTGTAATAGTCGCTAGGAGAAATGATCTGGCCCATAACCCACACGTTTCATTATGAACAATGCTATCTTCAGAAGTAGAATTTGTGCCATTGGATCAAGAACAAAACAGTGTTTGAGACTGCCCAGCAACCCCGCTCTGCTTGTATGATTTAGATTTCTTATCAGGCCTGGTTATAATAGACACCCTATTTGAACTTGCTCCAGAACACAGACATAAAGGTGAATGAATATGAACATATGAACGTTTGTATTTTACTAAAATATATTGTTTTACTAATTTACCTTGTTCAGTATTAGGCAGTTGTTTTTTTTAAGTGGAACTTGGTGGATTAGACAGATAGTAGAAGAATTCTTACCTCTATTGGGTGTTACTCTCTGTTTGATTGTTAAGGATTTTACCTCATTTCCTGTCCAAGCGACCACCTGCCACATCAGTAAGGCGAAATCACCACCTAGGTTCATACAGCATCAAGAATCTCACAGAGGTTGTAACCCTTCTCCACACTACTAAAGTGTTGTTATTGCAATGTCTCCACTTAAGAGATACTTCCTTATGTGGGATGACAGCAACTTCAATCACCAGTACAGGAAAAGAAGAAAAATCTCCCCAGCAGGGACATAAACAGAAGTAAACATCAGGGGGGTTTAACTCTCCTGCACTTAATCAAAGCCTAAAATGTTTGGTTAGAGTTCTACTTTAATATGTGGTACTCCCCTCCAAGCATGGTCAGCCAGTAGGTATCTGCCTGGTCAGTAGGAAATAGCTTGGTACCTGATGTGGCCAAAAATTGCTATTTGGACGATGGCCATCTTACCTATGAGCTAAATAAGCCAAACCAACACTAATATTTACATTTTAGATGGATGCCAATGCACTAAATGTCTTGTGGGCCCGATTTAGCCCTCACTGTCTTGGCTATTACAAGATTGATCAGGGTTATTGCATGTTCCATACTGCTGGTGTGGCATGGTGCTTGGATGCTTTACATGTGATCAGCTATGACACCAGTCATTTAAGGGCTTGAAGGTTTGCTTGAGAGCTGCAATAAGTACACTGGCAACCTTGACAGTTGCCTAAAACGTAACTGTTTTGGGAGACATAAAATTGGTTCCTGTTTAATGTAGGGAAACGCAGCTGTAAATTTTCTTCTGCATTTTTAGGAGATCTGGAAGGAAAGGTGAAACTGCTGGACAAGTCACAGAAATTCAAGCAACTCCAGGAAGTGATTGGGTGGCCCGGCTTGTGGGAGAGAGATAAAAGATTTTTCATCCCAGAGGTATGTCATGCACTTCCATGTGTATCGAACACTAACTAGTATTGTTAAAGCAGAACTCCAGGCAGTTAGCTAAATGCAGAGATGAAATACAGATATGGGAACTTTTTTGGGGTACAGTGTGGTGATAGCCCCACTGCAAGGGTACATTTTTGAAAGTCCTGGAGTTATTCTTTAATGATTACAGAGCTGCGTTAAATTGTGTCTTTTATATCTGCCTGTCTGATCAGCTTTACATAAGTTTTATATCAGTGTTATAGCGGCTGACATACAAAGATGACAGAATGCTAAATAGTGACCACCTTAAAAATGTAAAGTCAAGTGAATGCTTGTGTAGACTTTATTTATAAATCATCTGGTCAGCCATACTGTGCTAATGGCATTCAGTCGGGTATGGCTGCTCTGATAATTTGTAAATCATCCCCATACCAGGTAGACCTGGTACTAGTCAGTGAAAGCAGCTTGTTATACAAAATAGAACCAAGCCATGTAATAAATGCTGGTCTCCTTCAACTGAAAACATTCCATCTCAAAAGGCGTAAAATTTCTTTCTGTGATTTTTCTCTTTTTAGGGTCTTAAGAACTATTTCAAAGAACCTAATGTAGAGACGATGTTATCTTCACCGAACAGACAGCTTCTTCATGAAGGAAGACTTACCCTTACAGGTGCGTAATCTAACATGAATGGAACCTGTCCTCAGGCGTCAGGAAAGTAGCCAATAAATAGTTCAATAAAGCTTTCTATATCATCTGTACAGTCCACCTGTGTGGGTTGGTGCAACTGACTCCCACATATCACAAGATTGGTAGTTCATCTGGATACCCCATTCCAAGCTGATCACTATAACATGCAAAACAATGTAACTATCAGGACTAGTATGGTTCCACTTTTAACCCCTTAGTGACACAGCTTCGGAAAATGTTTTCGGAGCAATTTTGCCATTTTTGCTCTGTGTTAGGCTGGGCACACACCTTACAACCATCGCAAGGCTTTTGTCTTGCGATGGTTGTAAGGTACTTAAAAAAAACGTACGATCTGCCTATCTTGCATAGGCAGATCGTACTTGCGATGATCGCAAGCCACGCCTCCTGAGGGGCGGGCTTCCGATGGCCGCAATGCCGAACGGGCAGTGTGCCCTTGCGCACACCGGCCCGTACGGCTTTTATCTCACGAACATGCTACACACCCGCCGAACATCGTACGATGCATGAAACATGTTCGTAAGTTTAAAGTCGTGCGACCTTACAGTAGTAGAGTTCGCACGGCTTCCACACACCTTACGATAATTGTACGATCGCGGGATTTCCCGCGATTATCGTACAATTATCGTAAGGTGTGTGGGGACCTTAAGTTAACCATAATTTCCATCTTCCTCATTCATTGCACCTACACATATTATATACAGTTTTTTAAAGTAAATAATGGGTTTTAATTTGATTTGACATCTGCATATAAAGTCATAATTTAAACATTTAACAATAATAATGTGTCCTGATTTATAGGGTATATATGATGTCTGGGATTTCAGTTATTTGTGCTGAAAGAACAGAAATGAGCCCTAAAGGCTCATATGAAATATGTTTCGTAAAAATATTTTGCTGTTTTGTAAAAATGCTGCAAAATATATGCAGTTTAAATGGGTCTTAAAGTGACATTAAAGTCAAAGATTTGTTTCCCTCCCCCCAATGTTAATGTCAGCACTTACCTTAAATGATGTCTCTTAATACGATCTTCTTTCCTGATGTTTTCATCTGTCCTTCCAGCGGTGCGGCGGGTCTCCGATCCAGCGCTGACTCCTCTGTCCTTGCTGGCACTTCCTGTCTCACGGTGTCTGCATGCGGGTGGACACGTCCATAGACCTACCTTGTGTCTCTCCTCGCATCCCGGCCAAAAATCCGAACTGCGCATGCGCCCGCCCCAAGATGCTTTGCGGCCGCCCCCAAGACGCCCGAGCAGTTTTGGATTTTCGGACGGGAACGCGCGGCGAAGCCATCGGTAAGTTTAAACCGCTTTTAAAGCGTTTTTTTCCCCCCAACTTTTTGCATATAGCTACTGTTTGCTAGCAGTAGATATATGCAAAAACACCGGAGGGTTTGGAAACCCTTTAACCCTTTCGCTGCCAAGCCCTCCGGAACATTTTTCAAATCAGCTGGCCAAGCCATTTAGAGCACTTTATTGCAATGTGTCAACACAGGTTGTGCTAAGGCTGGCCAATGATTTGGATTGTCAACACACTTGCACTATTTTTGTCAATGGGGTGTACCACAACACACAGGGTATTCACATCTGTGCATTGTAGGGTGTTATAGCTCAGGTGCATTTTTCTTCAATGCATAATTGCGTGTTAACGCCCTTTTCAGTAACATGCTATAAAACATGTATTACCACAACACATGTATGTGAATGCAGACCAAGGGGATTTATGAAACCTGTATGTTTCTATTCTCTTTAGAGAGCACACGTCTTCTTGATGTATACCTGCTCCTCTTTGATGACTTGCTGCTGATAACAAAAATTAAACGCAACAAACGGGTAAGTAAATTTCTTGTGTATAAATCCTACATTTACATTTTTGAAAGGATATGCTGTTTACATACTTTTTTACATTACATATGTAATGAAAACGTAAGTACCTCCCATGGAAATTGTTGACTTTTTCAGCGTATTTGAACAGGCAAACATTAGATCTTTATTCAAACACTACCTACAGATAAAGGAGATATACTTGGAAACACGCAAGCAATAATTGCCTCTGCAGTTATTTATTTCACAAAACCATCAATAGACAAGAAAGCAAACATTTGTCCTCAGAAGCTAGTATTGTCACCTTTAGCAGAAATGACATGCACACGTTTTGAATAACTGCCCACAAGTCTCTGACATTGGGGGTGATTTACTAACCTAAACACACGCACGCACCAGGTGCGTGTGATTTTCACACAGCAAAACGTATTTATCAACCAAAAAGTCTCTAAAAGCATATTTCCACTAATGCCATATATGGGAAAATCATGCACATGATGCATATATAATGCTGCTTCACAGTTTAGACAAAAATGGTTAGCTCATGCATTTACATTCCTGCATTCATCAACGCAAGCAACACAACGTAGAGCTAATTTACACAACATCACCTTGCAATTCATGCAGGGCTTTGCACAACACACCTGCTGGGTGTGTACACACTACAAAGGTGTTTAGATTCCACCCATAGATCATGCTGGGAGGGAACACACTACAGAGGTGTATACATGTTCGTGGTGTGTTTATAAGGTTAGTAAATCAACCCCATTGACTCAATAAATTTGTGACTAATCCTTCATGCAAAGTGCCTTCAGTTGCAAGATATTTTATAGGTTTTACTTGCATGCACTGCCCATAAAAATAAATAAAAGTATTTAAATAATTGCATATATTAGTTCATATACCGTCATGTTTTCTTTTGGTGACTTTGCTAGTGTACTTCAGTCTATTAACACATTAAAAGATTCAATTCTGGTTCAACCTAAACTTTAGGAAAATAGCCCCTCATTAAGCACACTTTGATGCAGACATTCTAGTTTATTTGATTACTGCAAGCCGCTTAGGCCCTGAAGCAGCAAAACGGCCTTGAACAATAACATTTCCACCACCATGCTTCACAATTAGAATAGGATCCTTCTCCTGAAAATGCGGTCTTCAGTTTGCACCAAACATGTCTGCCGTTGACTGGGGCCAAACAACACTATCTTTGATTACTCCATCTTTGATTCTAGAAGGATTGGTCTTTGCCTATATGTTCAATGGCAAACTGTAGTTTTGCTGGAAGTTCTTTTTGGACAGAAAATATTTTTTTCCTGGCAGACAAGTTTATTGTGCCAGAGATGGGTTAGAATTGTTAATACAGGGTTCATATGATTACTGATATTTCCTTTGGTTAAGTTAGCCATAGACTGTGCGTATTTCCCCATCCATGCTAAACAGCCCAGTGGGAATATTTCCCCATCTACGCTGTCAGTATACCTCCACAGTGACAGCAGCTGATTGGCTGCAGTCACTGTCCATCTGAGAATTTTTGGTCCGGCTCAGAAGGACTTGGATCAAATTTGAGTAGTGTATGGCCAGCTTTAATGCTCATGCACCTTTTCTGTCCGTAGGAATGTATGTACAGAAAACACTGTATGCAGATATACATGTGTCAATGACACTACAGGAATCAGTTCCCAACCGTGAAACTTCTGTGCTGCGAACTTATGTCCGTACAATAAAGATAATACTAATCCTTCCCTACTCTTTTTAAAATGTTTTGGCTGGAATTCTGTTTTTATGCAGCAGTTGAGGGGTATGGGACCCAACCTGAGGGTCTACACTGGTGTAGGAAGGGTACTTTGTTCAGCAATGAATTAATACTTTTCATCAGTCTTGTGTTGTAAATGTCTTTCTTTGCAGAAACCATCATCTGTAGAAGCTTGCACAATGTACCCATCTTTACATCCAGAGCTGCAGAGGATAGTGAAAGAAGGTGGCTACTGCAAAGTCTTAGACCAGCCTATTCCACTAGACAGGCTCAGCATAAAAAGTATTGATGCCTTCCACGTTTCCGGTAATTAAGTATAAATGACTACAGTGTCTTGTAAGAAAGGACAAATGTGTTCTGGGATAAAACATGGGCTGATTGCTGTTCTGCTGAAGAATACGAATAAGGGATGCACCAAATTTATGGCCGAAAATGGTACAATGGGCAAAATGCTGATAGTAAAAAAAAAATCCCCAGCTTCTCTCCTCCCTGCTGGGCGCTGGTCTGTGTCCCCTCTGATCCATGCTGCTTTTCAAGGCCTGTGTCGGCAGAGGCAGTGGGGATCAGAGGGGACACAGAACCAATGCAGCCGCTGGCGCACAGTTGGGAGGAGGGAAACTGTTAGGACAGCGGGGAGGAGAGCTGCAGGAGGGGTGGAACGCTTCACAATGAGAGTCATTCAGTTCTGATCACACTGTTTGTAAATAACTGAGGATATTTCCTTACTGTGTCCCTAGTTATAAATGAATAGGAAGTGCTCTACATCACTTCCTGTTCATTCATGATTGTGGGCATAGTAACTGATACTATGAATTAGGAATAGACAGGAACACTCAGTATAGTGGATGGACTCTGTTCATTCATAACAGAGGCTGCAAAAAAATGTTGAGGACTCAATCTCTTTTTCTATTTCAAAAGGCAAAGCCCCTAACAGTAAAGTACAAAAAAAACCCATAAAACTAAAATAAAAAACAATGTAAAATGTTTTAAAAAGGTTGGGGAAAAAAAGTCATTTTTGGTTATGGCCTGACGAATTTTGAAGTTTTAGTTTACAAATGTAATTTCGTGCATCCCTAATACGAATAATAAAGAAACACATAACTACAAACAGGTTTAGAGCAACTTCATTTACCATCTGCTTTTGTCTTCAATAGTGTATGGAATGAAGAATGCTTTCCTAATCCAGCATGGGAATCGCTATCAGCAGTGTATTGCTGCCTTCATCATGCAAGCAAATACTGAATCTGAAAAGGTTTGTTAAACTTTTCTATTTTATAGTATATTGTACTACACATTTATATGTAAATTCTGACTTCTGTTAAAGTCAACAGTAGTGTGCAAGGGGATGAACCAGGGCTAGAATTGCAATAGATACTGAAAATCCACAACTCATTACAAAGGGACAGCAAGTCAGGAACATTGCATCTCTAATACAATGTTTTATGTATTTTCCAGAAACAATGGATCTCACAAATAGAAGCTGCAATTTCCTGTTACACTGAAGCTTATGAGACTAACAGATCTTCAGTATTTTGCTTCTCTGCAGAGTCAGCTGAAATTTAGTAGTATGTTGTGAATAGAATGCCTAATTTAACTTAATTATTTTGTTTACTGTTTTTATAAATATTTTATTTGTACATTGTTTGTAACATATGGAAATATGATTGACCAAAAAACCCCACAGTGTTTGTCGACTATGTTTTTCAAATCCATTTTCTAATATTTGGAGTGCTCCACAAAAGCTGGAGCTGGTTCTTTAATATACACCTCCAAGATATATTGGCTAATTAAGATTTTGCAATTTGGAAAAAATTCAAATGAAAGCTTCAGCTGTGTTCAGCTTAAACCATATGTCAAGGTAAAATATTAAAAAAACTAAGGAAAACTAGAGGGGTTTTTGGCAATATTGTCCTCATATTTATTTTGTTTTTCTATGTAATTTTTTTAAATTTGATTTTTTTTTCTATTCTGACCAGTGTTTGTTTTTTTTTTAAGTAGTGTTACTGTAAATACGATTTATACATTTTATTCTACAATTTGTTTTGTTTAAAATGACACTAAAATGAAGTTTTTGGTACAAAGCATGGCAGTTATTTTTTCAGTTTTGCTAATTTTCTTGTTATGTGACACTGAAAAATGTAATCAGGTTAGTGAGCTCTGAAATGCTAAGCATGTGGTGTCAGCCTTGCCTGCTTAACTTCTGATGGATAACAAGGACACAGTCCTCGTCTCATCTCCTTTTACAAAAACCCTCCTTGTGTACAGGAAATGATCAGCTCACATAACTTTCAGCAGAATCAACAGGTATTATTTTGCACTCATTGAATAGATACCACAAAATGCTCTCAGTGGTATAATAATATAATAATAAGTAGGCCGAAAAGGAGCAAATAAGAGAAGCTCATTGTTAAGATGGATCCTACCGAATCAGCTGAAATCCGCTCACTGGGTTGCCCTATCTGCTGGCTGCCGACTGACATCCTTCAGTTGAAAAATTGAAGGAGTAAGGCAAAAAAAAAAATTGTTGGCCAAATAGCACCTGCATTCCAGTTAGCCACAAGGAGAGATTCCTCTATCCAGACGATTTAACGCAGATGAAGAAATCGTTTACATTTTTTTTCGGTCAGCTTTCAGGGCGAACGAAAAAATATCTGTGTATACCAAGTCTTTAAAAAAGATTACATAACGTATATAACATTGTTGCACAAGCCATTTTGTATTTTAATGTGAATAAAAATGACCTTTTCATTAAAAACTGTAGCCGCTGTAATGTTTTAATTTGGTCAAAAATATTCAATGCAATATGGTGATCTGGTGGCGTTCTGCCTGGCCCAAAAAAAGTCACCACCTGTATTTCGGGCAGTGTTCTGATCTGGGGTTGCTTCAGTTGGTCAGGTCTAGGATCAGCAACGTTATGTGAATATATCGAATGACCAGGGTTTTCCATCAATGGATTTTTTCTTCCCTGATGGCACATTGGGCATATTCCAAGATGACAATGCCAGGATTCATCGGGTTCAGAGTGTGAAAAAATGGTTCAGGGAGCATGAGACCTCATTTTCACACATGGATTGGCCACCACATAGTCCAGACCTTAACCCCATTGAGAAGCTTTGGGATGTGCTGGTGAAAACCTTGAGTGGTCTGACTCTCCCATCATCACTACAAGATCTTGGTGAAAAATGAATGCAATAAATGTTTTGATGTTGTATAAGCTTATTAGAGTGTGACTTTTTGTTGGCCAAGTAGTTTAAAAGTAGATGTTCTTCAAAGATGGTTGCAAAAGTGAAAATACACTAAGTCCCTCCAAAGCTAATAGTTCAATTCTGACTGCATTTCGGCAAGTTCAATCAGCTGCCAGTCCATTCGAAAACAAGAGCCCCAGAAAAGGAAGGGTACGTAAAAATGAGGGTACATTCAAAAACAAGGCACAAAGAGTCGTTAGAAAGATCTATTTTTATTTACCATTTGTTATACAGATTAGAAAACAAATAACATTTGAACAAGCATCCTTCCACTCCACACCAACAGCTGCAGGATGTCTACTTACAGATACATCTCCATTGTAAATGCACACCAGATTACAGTCTCTCACAACATAAGGCACCACTACATGATCACAAGCTGTAAACATAACATTGAAAAAACAAAACAAAAGGGCATAGGAAGAAACCAGGTCAAATATTCATGCAAAACCTACATGAACCTACATAAAGTCTACATGTACTCTGTATGATCTTGTTTACCAAGTGTAGTGTAATGTGAATACATTTGCATTGCAAGATCAGAAATGAAATCTCACTAAAGTGCTTAAGAACATAAAAAGCTTCACACATTCACAGCAGGAGGAAAAGACTTCTCTGTGCCACAATATATGTGAAGGCTCCTCTTTACTCCAGAACAAAGAGCGGATGATCTGGGTAATACTGCTACCTCATAAAGCTTTAATATTGCTGCTTTGTTCCTCAACGTTCCTTATTATTAATGTTGGTGAAATCTTACAGGAAGTATGCCTTAGTGTCTGGAATCCACAGGTGTGTTTGTGTCCCCGTATCTGAGATTTGGCTTTACCCGTGGTTGTCAACTTTAGTCTTCACTAACTGCCGACAGTTCCAGAATTCCAAGTTGAAGCACAGCATTATTATTTTTCAGCAGCTTACATGAAAAAACACTTAGAGCCAAACCCTTATTTAGTTGTGGATAGAGTGAGGAAAGGTTCCATCCTCTATTAGTCGGGGAAATCTCCCCAATAGGGGCACAGACAACAACAACATAAACACATTAGTAGAGTGACAAAGGGACAGAACATCTGACAATGTTTTTATTGATGTCTGTGCCTTCATGTCCTAGAGACAAATACACCCCCTATATCGTGAATGGGTGTCACTAGGACAGGTCATGGAAAATCTCCCCATGGGGCCCCAGCCAGAAGGAAAAACCTGACAAAATATTTATTCTACTCCACTCTTTCCAAAAGTAGGAAAATGAAATTTGGCTGGTAGGTTCACCTGTGACTTGAGATCAAAAAATTCTGTACTGTCAGAGCAGAGAAACACGCTGGTCTACAGCATACTGACTATTGCAGCAAATTACATTTCAGGAAGATCAATGAAGGAGGTCCATAGGCTGGGTTGAATAAGAATCTAGGCATCTATTTAAAAAAATACGATATAGTCTTGAAATGCATCTGTGCCCAGACTATGGACATTATTTACAGATTAGTAACAAGCAGTAAAAAAAAAAGCTTTAAAAGGCCCATTCACACCACTGAGTTGCGATAAAGAGAATGCTACTGCAACTCATGTTACAGCCGTTGATGCGCTGTGGTGTCATTCATTGTAAATGGCACCCCAACACACCTCCAAAACCCATGTGTGCTGCAACGCAGTGTGGCACAATACAAGGCGTCCCATAGGTTATGCCGTGATGGAATGTAGCCTGCCTTGCAATGGGCATTAACGTGTGCATTGCTGTGCACATCGTTGCGGTGTGAATGGGCCCTTACACAAGTCATTCCTGAACTCTCTAGTTGTGATGTAATTTGTTCATTAAGACTCATACAGGGTTATTCACAAAAGGGTGAAGAGTTTGGAGAAGTGAACAATCTAGGACAACATAGCTGAACTGAAAAGTGAGCTGAATTGGAGAATTTTTCCAAATCAGCTATGTTGTCCTAGATTGTTCACTTCTCCTGCCTTCTCCAAACTCTTCACCCTTTTAGTAAGATCCCTGTTTCAGTTGGTTTTTAACACACATGAGACTGCCAAAATTCTGCTCTCAACATCAAAAAGCTCAGTCTGATGTGAACTTGGAAGACAAATATCTCCAGAATGCCTATAATTACAGAAGTGAATGAGGGCTTGTTTTAACACATTCAGGGCCTGTTTATTTAGCGATAACTTTGTCATTACTTAAGAAAACTATGTATATATGTGGGAATATATATGGGGATATATTTTTATGGGAAAATTTGACTTTTTGCTAATATTTTTTTCAGTTGTGCACATTTTCTTGTTTTGTGACACTGGAAAAAGTAACAAAGGAAAAATAGACATAAAAAAAAAATCAGCAGAAAAATAATAGTGAAGGGGTAAAGGATTAGATAAGATTAGGACTTACTAAGGGTTAATAGTAATATATTGACATTAAATAGTAACTACGATGAAATAATACACTGTTAGACTAAATTTACTCATGGACTTTTGCAGACAGCGAAGCAAGTGTCATTTTGACAGCTGCTCCTGCTGTGTAATACAAAGCAATTACCAGCTGTCATTTTGAGAGCTGGCAATTGCCCGGTAATAGCGGCGGGGAGGAAAGGCGCTGGATGTAATAGATGCGCCCTACAAACTTTGTTGGATTATTTTTAACACATCACTTAAACTCAAAATCCTCAAGTTGTTAGGATGCTTTTACTGCTTCTTCAGAATATGTAAATGCCATGGTATGCATAGTCTGAACACAGGATCAACAGGAACAGTCATAAAAACTGAAAAGGAAGTTGTAACTCATTCCAGTTAGTATTATGTTAAGTAAAAAGTTAAACATTATCACTGTTATGCTTTCTGTACAATTTACGGAGCAAGTTTCAAAAGAATTCTAAAAAGTACAGTAACAAAAACTAGTTTTCGTCTTTGATACTAGAAAACCAAAATAATGGACAGCACGTGAACGGTGAATGAATGTGTATAATAAAGACAATATGGGAGGTTATGGGAATGAAGAAGAGACACCACAACTTCCAGGGATGTCAGTTGAACAAAAAATGCAGCATGCACATGAATGCAGGCATAGCACTTTTCTTTTACTTTAAAAAAAAAGACCAGACTTGTACATCCTTACAGTAAAATTAATTTCTTGGGGTCCACTGAGGGACACAGGAAGTCTTACACCTTTGGGCACTTGCAAACAAATAAAAAAAAAAAAAAAACTGGGCAAGCCCAGGAGAACTTCTTCCACCCCCGGCATACCTCAGTATTTTAGCAAAGTTGTACCACGAGTGTGATTATAAACACATAATGGCGGGATCTGTGTTTCTCAAAGGACTTCTCAAAAAAAAAGAAGATTTTAGGATTGGTACAATAATTTCTTTCTCGTCTATTGAGGCCA